CAGGACATGCGGGTATGTGTGTGAGTGTAAGGGGTGACTACGCTTTGTCATGGTAACTGTGATGTGACTGTGTGAGCAAAGCCAGATCAGTGTGTGAGCATCTTTATATGCACAGTGAGTGGGCATGTGTGACTCTGAGTGGTCCGTGTGACTGTGGATGTGTGTGCTGGGACGTGACTGGGTGCTGCACTGGAAACATGCATGTGGCCTTCTGTGCATGTGAAGGTTTCTCCACACACAGCAGCACCACTGATGAAGCAGCTGTACGTCTTCCCATGTGTGTCAGTGTGGATCGCAGGTGGCAGAAATGATGGGGATTCTGGGAACTGTGAGTTACCAAGGACTGGTCTCTGAGCACTCATGAGACCAGAATGCACAAATTCTCGGGAGCCTCTTCTCATGCAGAGTGAGGGAGAGGGAGGCAGACTTTGCAAAGAGCATCTGCAGATGGGATCTGCACACAGTGACCACTGGCTCCTGCCTCCAGCCTCAGGTCTCTCCCTGTCCCACATTCTAGCCTGTCCTTCACATTGAGCACCAGGATGGCAGGCAGATTTTGATTCACTAGGTAAGAACTTTGGGGGACTCGTTTCATATATGGAATCACCCAAAACCAGCAAGGAACTTGAGCTCCAGTAGAGCTTACAGTAAATATTCATCAAGTTGTTTGCTGAGGCCTGTAATCCCAGCACTTTGGGAGTCTGAGGTTAAAGGATCACCTGAGGCCAGGATTTGGGGACCAGCCTGGGCAACACAGCAAGATTCCATCTTTCCAAACATTTAAACATTTGCTGGGCATACTGATGTGTGCCTGTAGTCCCAGATGCTTGGGGACTGAGGCTGGAGGATTGCTGCTGTCCAGGCATTCAAGGCTGTAGTGAGCTGTGATGTTGTCACTGCATTCTGGAAATTAGGGTAAAGGTTTTACACATATTAACTCCTATATTACCAAAAACGTCCTACAAAGTAGGACCTTTAGAAAATCCTGCCTGTACTGGGGAAACGGAGGTAGGGGAGTTCAAGTAGTGAATCTAATGTCACACTGTTGGCAGAGTAAAGTGATTCACCCCTGTACAGCAGCAGTTTGGGAGGCCAAGGCAAGAGGATCTTTTGAATCTAGGAGCTCCAGACAGACAACATCAAGAGACCCTGACTCTCTACAAACATAAAATATGAGCTGGTTCTGTGGTGTGGACCTGTAGTCTCAGCTACTTAGAGGGCTGAGGTGAGAGGATTGCTGGAGCCCTGGAGGTTGAGGCTGCAGTGAGTGTGCACTGATGGGCCCACTGCACTCACGTCCAGGGAATATAAGACCCCATGTTAAGAATAGTGTTCAAAAATGTTAACCTCTCACTTCTAGTAGAAGGCAGAATCAAGGAGAAAATTGAGGCAGCCCAGTTTCTGAAGCTCTGTTTTTAAGTATGTATTCAAGAATATAGGGTTCTGGCTCGGGGCTGTGGCTTACGCCTGTAATCCCAGCACTTTGGGAGGCTGAGGCAGGTGGATCCCGAGGTCAATAGATCGAGACTGTCCTCTTCAATATGGTGAAGCCCCGTCTCTACAGAAAATACAAAAAATTAGCTCAGCATGGTGGCGTGTGCCTGTAATACCAGCTACTAAGGAGGCTGTGAGGCAGGAGAATTGCCTGAACCCAGGAGGCAGAGTTTGCTGTGAGGCAAGATTGTGCCATTGCATGCCTGTCTGGGTAACAAGAGCAAAACTCCATCTCAAAAAAAAAAAAAAAAAAAAATAGAGGGTTCTGATTGTGGTAAGGTGGGAGAGGGAGGCCTCAGGGTCTACCCTTCAACATCTAAACAGCTGCCTAAAGAAAATCTGTTACAGCAGGGGAGGCCCCACATGATCTGGTGCCTCTCACTCAGTCTCAATTTTCTGACAGGTGCCATACACACAGGCTGTGTCCCTGCCTATTGGTACTTCTGTGACAATCAAAGGGAAACCTGTCCAACCTTTCTTGTGAGTATTTTTGTGTCCAAGGGTGGTAGGGCAGAGGAGGGAGAACATTTTCTCAGGGGGTGACCTCATGTGAGTGATGTGAAAATGTCTAGCTGGCAGGATGAAGGCGCCGTGCAGGTTGCAGGTCCTGGAGACCCTCCAACACCAGGCATGAAACCTGCAGTGGCTGCACTGTGGGCCAGTCATGAGACCTAGGTGAGGAGGACAGTCAGGGCTTGAGATTGTGGCTCTTTATCTATAAAAAGCCACAACATTTCATGAGGTGGACACTCGCAAGGTTAGTGACTGTAGTTCAGTTTCTGTCTGGGAATGAGGGGCAGAGCATCTTCTCCCACCCTTACTTAGGGCAGGAGGAGCTGAAGCAGCCCCACAGAGAGGACACCTACATTATCACCAGGAAGGCTTCCGTCTGCCCTGGTGAAAAATGGAAAGGATTTGTGGGTATGTTGTGTGTGTACCCAACAAGACGGGGGCCTGCTCAACACACTGTGTGCTTTGTCTTCAGCAATGAACCACTGCTACAGGTGGATTTTCACACCGCGATGGATGAGCTGTCAGACATCGCTTTCCATTTCAAAGTGTACTTTGGCCATTATGTGGCCATGAACAGTCGTGAGAATCGGGTCTGGAAGCAGGAGGTGAAACTCAACGATATGCCCTTTGAGGATGGCAAAGCCTTTGAGCTGTGCATCTCAGCGGTGAACAATGGGTACCAGGTGAGTGCCCAAGGAGCTCCCAGCACCTGGTCTCCATGGGCTCCCAGAGCAAGAGACAGCTCTCCCCGTCCTCCAAGAAACTCTTGGAGCCTATCTCCCATAACTACCTCTGTCTCAAGCTTTTCCTCACACACAGAGGGGACACTTAACTTTTATAATTTTCCTCTCTCAACAAGTGTTGTTGGGTGCACTGCCCTCTGCTTGCACTGCCCTCCACAGCTCCTTCCCAATCTGACCAGGGTCAAGGGTGGCTCACCTACCATTTTATCCATGGTGGAGAATCTCCTCTATCTTCATCCACAGTTCTCATTTCCACTTATGCTATTATTTCAATTTCATGCAGCTAAATGAATAAAATTGTTTTAGTCAGTCCAATATGAAAACTTTCTCTTCGCCTGATGCCAGAGTCTCAGAAGAATATTACTAGCTTCTCTACTTTTCTTCTATAGACAGTCTATGCTTATGGGCACATATATACACACACATATATATTTTCATTTCTTTTAAACAGATGCTGGCATAGATTTCTTTTCACATAACACTTTAAGAACTACAGTTATTTGTACCCAAAGTATATACCTTGGAGAAATCATCTATCCACTGTGCTGTCTCATTTTTCAGGATTGAATCTTATTCCCCTCAAAAAATTACCAAAACTTGTTGAATATGATCTTTACAAAAGCACCGAGGTTGTTTTCAATGTTTTGCTCTCACAGGGATGCTGTATTAAGCTTCCTAATTATTAGAAACCTTTTATCATTATCACCCTCCCAATATTTACATTGGAAGGTAATTACAAACAAATGGAATAACCCGTTCAAAATTGTTTGCTTTAAATTAGAGAATACGACCTAGAAGAGGACTTCCTATAGAGCCTCAGTAATGAAAACTGTGATCAAACTTTCTAACCTTTCAAAGTGTATGCTAAAGGATTCACATTTATTCAGATTTAAGTCAGGGATTTTTCCCCTATGTTTATAAGATGTTAAAGATGACATCTAATGCTTTGCAACATCTGTGCATTTCCATCGTTCTGAGAACACTTGGGTTTTATTCTTTGACACCACCAGCTGAGATCTGGGCTACTCCAAAGAGAAGCTGGGCCATGAGAAATGAATGTGAGTCAGTTCACGTAACTGAAATGCATGCATTCAATGAACATTGTCAAGCACTAACCCCGTGGCAGGCCCTGTGCAGGACGATGAGATTCAAGTTGATGAGACACAGTACCTGACCACGGGGACCTTCCAGGCTAGAGAGAAGACCAAACACACACATATGACACAGAGCAGTAGAACCTCTCGGAGAATGAGAGGAAATGCTGAAAATATAGTGAGCAACTATCTTGAATAATCACAAAAGGTAGTCTGTAAAAAGAAGTGTGTCTACTGGCTTCAGATGTATAATTAGGTGTTTTCTGGTTGCATGTTGCAGGTACTAGGACATAGTGGAGAGCAGGTTGAAAGCTTGTTTAGTGAAATACTGTCTTTCTGATGCATTTCTCTTCTTCTAGGTAATGGTCAATGGCCAGTTCTATTACACCTTTGAAAATCGACTCCCACAAGAGTCTGTGAAGATGGTGCAAGTGTGGAGAGATATCTCCCTTACCTCAATGAGTGTCCAGAATTAAAGGTGACAGCCAGAGTCTTCACTTTCAAAAAATTCCTGTTTCTATGTGGCCATGGATTCCCAGAGCTGGCTAACAACATGATCTCTCCTGACTTCAGTTCTTACACTTGCTCATTAAAACTTCATCAAACTTTACAGAATTTGCTTTTTTCATTCGGGGGAAAAAGAAAGTGGTCTTTACTAAGAGGGCCTCAGGGATTCTATGGGTGGCATGAAGGAGTCAAAGGGAATACATCTTCCCGGCACAGAAACACTGAGTGACAAGTCCACTGAAACACCTGAGAAGACATTAGGAATAACAGCCTTCTACATCATAGACTTTATGTCAGACACTGAACTAAAATCGCTACCCAATTTCAGATGAGTCACTGCACTGAAATGACAGGTAGCTGTGTTTTTAGCCACACAGGGATAAGCGATGGGATTGGAGGCTTCAATAACTGAGCCATGATAGGGTTGGGGAGGCTGTGGCTGACCTGAGCAGGGCTGTATAAGAGCCCTGCTCTCTACACTGAAAGCAGAGGGGTGGGAAACCTTGAGGGCTCCCATTCCCCCACCTGAACCCAAAGTGTCACATCTTCCTCCACTTAACCAGGAAAAGAAAAACAAGAAGAAAATTGCTTGTGAAAAAACTCATATGCTTTTTCCCTAAGTTCCAGAAAAAGGCATATACAGTATCACTTCTGGAAAGGGGAATCCCACATGTACAAATCTGATTTATTCATTTAAAGAGTGCTCATGGATGAACAAGCCCTTCTCCCATTCTTTCTGCAGACTTAGAAAGGGAAAGTCATTTCACAGAGGAGCGGCTGTAGGCTCAAACGATGAACAGAGTACTCACTACTTTGCAGAGTGGAAATCTTTGGAGGTCACTACTTTAACAGTGGAAATCTTGGACAGGGATGAATGCAAGGCCAATCCTTTGATCAGAGCACACAGCGTTGGTTCTCACTGAAGGTCTTCCTGTAGCCATCATTCTTCTCCACCCACAGACACAAGGTTGGGACACCTTTACTGCGCCCCCTGCAGTACTCTCACTGCCTCTCTTCCCCCTGTTGCTGCATCTCAGAAGACAACAACTGATGATCCAGCCCTCCTTTAAGAGTGATTTTATCCCTGGAGCGTCTCCTTTGGGGAGAATTCTGGGTCAGCCCCTGCCACCTGAGTTGCTCTAAAGACATTACTTTTCAGAGGGTCTTGATTCCTGTCTTCCCAATAAGTCTCTGTGTTTATTCTGGACAAGTTTTCTATTCACCAGTCAGAAAGGGAGATATCTGCGTTACATTTCAGGGAGTCCAGGGTCTTTCTGGGCCTTAAAAAAAAAAAAAGTTATCATCCTGAAGAGACTGGGAGAATTTTGTAAAGAAGGTAGTGCTTGCCAGTCTCAAGCTAGAAACCATCCATGTCCATCAAGAGTAAAACTGCTGAGTACGTGTTGGCAGATTCACAAAATGCAGGAGTGGAGATCAATGAAAAGGAGGGAACTCCAGCAGCACACAGCAATCTGAATGACCCCTAAAAATAAAACGTGAACAAAAGATGCATGACCCAAAAAAAAGCCCTCCAAGACAAAGCACATAACATGTTTAAGCAGTTTATGACCTTTGTAAAAGATAATTGGGAAGCTTTCTACATATGGATTTAGACAAGTCTCTAAGTTATAATGGTAACTAAAACATGAAGACATGAGCTACTGTATATATATTTTATACATAATGTAACTGTGTATATTGTATACACTATACGTGTGTGTGTGTGTGTGTGTGTGTGTGTGTGTGTGTGTGTGTGTAGTCGATTATCACATAGGCTCTCTCTATAAAATATACAGAGGGGAAATAACAAGTCCACTCACATTTGCCTTTTCATGTACGACAACACTTGGGAAGAAAACAACAAATTTACAACGTAACTGGGGGCTGTAGTGGAATAGACAAGAAATCGTTTTGCTGTATTTTGCACCTTTTCTCTTTTGAGCTTTGTGAAGGCATTACCTATACAAATCATAAAATAAAAACTAAAAGTGAAGCAAAAGAAAGCATACCTTTCCCTTACTTCAGATGTTCCTGAAAACACTTTAACACATAATACATGCAATATATATTCACTATTTTGGTGTTATCTGTCATTTGAAATACCTTGAGGAAATAAGATTAATCTTCCACTAATCAGCCTTTATTGACTATGACGCGAAGGGATTACAAACTCTAAAATTTCAAAAGTTCTTCGATAGTCTTCCAGTCTTAATTTAAAAACCTAAGTTTAGCAAATTCGGTCATCTTGCTCTTGCTTTCATCCTCTACACGGGGGCCCTAGTATTGACAAGTGGCTGAAACTTTATTCTCGCAATACCAATTTTTTCAGCGAGGCAAACATCAAAGACACTTTCCACAATGCCAGGACAACAACATCTCCGTCAAGCAGGATTTTTCTAAAAACAGCCTTCAAAAGACCCCACGATTCATTGTATTTCTTTTCCCTTCTTTCTTCATGATACTCTCCCTTTTTTTCAACTATGCAATAATTGCTCTCTTTCCTTATAATTAAACATCTTATTGTCCACAATAAAGAAGTTTCAGTTATAGGACTGGCAAATAATTCTTCCTCAAAGAAGCCCAAAAAAGAATGGCAGGGTTCTCTAAAGGTAGCTGCCCCTCTTTCGGTGGAAAGGGCACCACTATTCCCGTCTTTCAACCTATTGCAGCTGAGTTCTGAAGCCAGACGACCTAGCGCTACAGAGGCAAGAGATCTCGGATATATACAAAATAATTCCGATGGACGCTCGGCTAACGCTGGCATCATGGGCTCCGTCTCTCGCGCCGCACACGTCCACAACCACCCAGCAGGCTGCGTCAACCCTCTCACCCGGCTGACCCAAGCCGAAGTCAGACTAGAGAGGGCTTCGGGATCCAGCTGGGGGCGTGGGAGGGCAGCCGGGCCGGAGCCGCACTCACGTAGGGTCGGGCCAGGTGCTGCCCATATTCCGCCTACAGCCGCCTACCTCTGCCTGAGGAATGTCGCTGCCGCCATTCGTCGCGCCCGTCCGTCTGCCACTGCTATTTGCCTGCAGGTCTCACATCTCCGACCGCCAGGTTGCCTGAGTAGCTCGGGGAAAACCGGAACAGCAGGACCACACGGTTGCGCGGTGCGCACTGAAGCGCATGCGCATGTGTATTTCTGCGGATGCGCTTTATTCACAGCCGCGTGTGCTCCTGAGCGTGCGTGGGAACGCGCAAGTGTGTCTTCAACCTCCTGCGCCCAAACGGAGGTGAACTTCTGTGGAGGCTGTGGCTACAGGTGCAGACTAGAGAGAGAAGGTAATGGGGCAGGAGTAAGGGCTCCAGAGCTCGGGAACCGTCTTCCTGCAGCTTTCATGTGCCTCCAAAGCCTGCTTAATTAAGCCTGATCTCACATAGACCATTTCTAGTTGACAGTGGAGAGCTGCTGTGAATGTCCAACTTTTTAGCTGGTTGGTCAGACACACCTGGCCAGGTCTTGTCCAGTAGCCAGATTTCACAGTAAATTGGAGGCCATTGGTAAGCATTCACTCTCTGCTAGGGCCCAGTAGCAAGACAAATGCTTTTTCCCAAAAGCTGAGTAGTTATCCACAAGGATGGTATGGCTTTGCTCTAAAATCTTAAGGGTCTGTACTGTGATTCACGTAAGGATCCTGCCAAAAATTCTAAGAGCATCTCTACCTGCCACCGACCCTTCAAGCGCCATTGCTCCTGCTGAATCCCAGTTGAGAGAAACGGGCATGACAGTGCACAGCCCTCCCTTATTCTGGGCCCCACACAAAACGAACAGCTTTTGAAAAATACGGTGTAAGGCCGGGCGCGGTGGCTCAAGCCTGTAATCCCAGCACTTTGGGAGGCCGAGGTGGGCAGATCACGAGGTCAAGAGATAGAGAACATCCTGGCCAACATGGTGAAACCTCGTCTCTACTAAAAAGACAAAAAAAAAATTAGCTGGGCGTGGTGGTGGGCGCCTATAGTTCCAGATACTCGGGAAGCTGAGGCAGGAGAATTGCTTGAACCCGGGAGGTGGAGGTTGTAGTGAGCCGAGGTCACACCACTGCACTCCAGCCTGGTGCCTGGTGATGGAGTGAGACTCTGTCTCACACACACACACACACACACACACACACACACACAAATACAGTGTATATGAGTGTGTGGAATGTACTCAAGTGAGGTATGTACAGCATCCAAAATTCAAAGAATCTGACTAGGCACGTGTCACTAGTCATCCTGCATATCTTTAGATGCACCAGTCACTTAGTCCTTGAAATTTCACAAAGTGGGAAATACCCTGAATTTTTTTGGTATTTATTTCTGACTGACGCACACAAGCGTCTACCCACTGTGTCTAACATCATGGCCACCTCCTGATCACCAGGTCTCATCAGCATAATATCATCAGTATAAAGGATCAGCATGTCAGCGTCTTCTGGAAAAAAAGAAGTGAACATAACAGCTTGCCTTGCAAGATGGCAGAATAGAAGGCTCCACCAATTTTACCCCCACTCCTCTAGACATAAATTTAACAGTATCTACAGAGGAAAAACACCTTCATAAGAACCACAAAGTAGGTGAGTCCTCATAGATACCCGGTTATAAGTCTATATCACTGAAAGAGGCACTAAGGGAATAGAGCAAACAGACTGGAATTGCTAATGCCACTCCTTCTTCATCCAGGCAGTAGTGGTGTGATGCCTTTTGCAAAGTATCTACTTCTTTTTTGAGACAGGGTCTCATTCTGACACCTAGGCTGCAGTGCAGTGGTACAAACTAGGCTCAGGCGATCCTCCCAGCTCAGCCTCCTAGTAGCTGGGATTACAGCTGTGTGTGTGAGAACACCAGCTAATTTTTCTATATTTTTCATAGGAACAGCATTTTGCCATGTTGCCCAGGCTGGTCTTGAACTCCTGGGCTCAAGCCATCCACTTGCCTCAGCCACCCAAACTGCTGGAATTACAGGCATGAGCCACTGTGCCCAGCCCTTTGCCCACTTTTTTATGGGGTTGGTGTTTTTTTCTTGAAAAGTTGTTAAAGTTCTTTATAGATGCTAAATATTAGACCATTTTCAGATAAATCATTTACAAATATCATCTCCCATTCTGTAGGTTGTCTGTTGTCTCTGTTGATAGTGCAGAAGCTCATTAGTTTAAACAGATCCATTTGTCAATTTTTTTCTTGTGATTGCTTCTATTTGCCTATTTGTATATTCAGAATGGTGTTGCCTGGGTAGTCTTTCATGTTTCTTAATAGTTTTGGGTTTTACATTTAAGTCTTTAACCCATCTTGAGTTGATTTTTCTATATAATGCAAGGAAGGGGTTCACTTTCAATCATCTGCATATAGCTAGCCAGTTATCCCAATGCCATGTCTTGAATCAGAAGTTCTTTTTCCATTGCTTTTTTGGTCAACTTCGTCAAAGATGAGATGGTTGTAGGTGTTCAACCTTATTTCTAGGCTCTCTATTTGCTCCACTGGTCTACAGACTTGTTTTTGTACCAGCACCGTGGTTTTGGTTATGTGGCCCTGTGGTACAGTTGGAAGTTGGGTAATGTGATGTTTCCATCTTTGTTCTTTTTGGTTAGAATTGTCTGGTTATTCAACTCACTTTTGGTTCCATGTGCATTTTAAAATAGTTTGTTATAATTCTGTGAAGGATGTCATTGGTAGTTCTGTACATTTCTCCAGGCAGTATGGCTGTTTCAATGATAATGAGTCTTGCTATCCATGAGCATGGAATGTTTTTCCACTTATTTGGGTCACCTCTGTGTTTTTAAGCAGTGTTTTGTAATTCTCATTGTAATAATCTTTCACCTCTCTGGTTAGCTATATTCCTCGGTATTTTATCCTTTTATGGCAATTCTGAATGGAACTGCATTCCTGATTATGCCCTATGCTTCACTTTTGTTGATTAAATTTTGGAAAGCTACCCTATACCTATTAGGGTTTTAGAAAATCGGTCTAAGATTCCCTTTATTTGCTTAAGGTATTGTGATGAGAAGGGAATGTGAGGGGAGCCCAAATAAAAGGGATCCTCAGATGGTTCCCCTAAAAGTTTCCTTTTTAATTATGGAGTATTGTTTTTCCTGGGCTTTCCTGACATGATTGCTAAAACAGCTGGATCCATCTTACACCACTTACAGAGGTTTACGCAAAAGAAAATGAGTTACTTTTCTCCATAAAGTTTTCAGTTTAAGGAAGTTTCAGTGTTTCAGAGTGCACTGCAGAGGGGTACAAGCAGAGGATAATTTATTACAGATTTAGATAATGTAGCGAAAATAAAAGCGTCCTCTTAGCCTCCTTCCTTTTCTTATGACCCAGAGTGGAGGAGAAGACAAGGAGCATCCTCCGAATAATTTCCTTCCCTGGTTTCTGGATCTCAGCACCATGGTAAATGTGCCCCCTATGGTTGTAGGTGTGGTTCTCCTATCCATGGAACTGGATGAACAAGTGATGGGGCTAATCGTGCTCATCTATGAAATTTTATTTTATTTTTTACTT